GGGCTGCCGGGGCAGTCTGGCTGCACGGGGCCTGGGGCCTGGGGCTGCAGACATGGATCTGAGCTCTGTAACCTCAGGCCCTTGGCCCCAAACAAGTTTTACTTTCCTCATAAACTATGGAAAAAAACATGGATAAAACTCCATGGGTGGGAAGCATTCAAGAAAATGATGGCCGTGAAAGGGTTTTGGCAGCTGGAGGCACTGCACGGTCAGAGAGCATTCCCAGAGGATGCTGCTGGTCCCTCGGGGAGGTGGGCACAGAGCCCTCCCCCCCGGCACCGTCTGCTCATCTAGGGACTTAGAGAGTGGACACCAGGCTGGGCTGCCCGCTGAGGACTCGACTGCATGGCCAGGAGGAGGGATCTAGGTCTGTCCCTCTGCCGCCTGCTGTGTGTGCGTGTGTGTGTGTGTGTGTGTGTGTGTGTGCTTGCGTGTGCACAGGTGTGCTGGCGTCCACGAGCACCATCTGTCAGGATTTGGTGGAGGGCGGAGGGCCTCCTGTGTGGGGGCCAGCTTCCCTCCTGCACACTGGAAGGCCGGTGGTCTTCGAGGGCTTCAAAGCTGTCAGGAGCCCTAGGAGGTGGCTCCTCTGTTGGCAGGGCAGGGCAGAGCCGGGCAGCCGCAGGGAGTGAGCTGCCCAGAGCCAACCTAAATCTAAAGAGTGACACCAAGGCATTCCTGAGAGTCACCTCTCCACAGCAGCCACGCTACCTGCCTCGCTGCCCTGTCACCACACACATGCGCAGTCTTTTTGGGGACACAGATAGAAAAAGATGAAGAAAACATGAAGGGCCCGGACATTTGTTTAAGAATAAATAGTTCTGAGGGTTTACTACTCTGTGTCAGGCACTGTTCCAGGTGCTGGGGTCACTTTGGAACTTCGGAGAACAAGACAGACAAAGCCTCTACCCTTTGGAAGTCAGAGCTAAATGACACAAAATGCATAAAAATTCAGAGGAGGATCCTCTGGCACCCTTCTTCAGAGCCCACTACATTTAGCGTGTACAGGTCTTGCAAGCTCAACACTCAGATGTCTCAGATCAAAACCGCTGAACAGAAATGACCTGTGGAGGCCAGTGGGGGTGGGGGCCAGGTCCTGGGGCAGGTGCAGGGATAGGTCCCAGAGTCACAGCCAGCAAAACACAGTCGAGAGCAAAGCCACAGGCTCAGAAGAGCCGAGAGGCTCAGGCCACTTCGTGTCAGGACATAAGGCTCCCCAAGCTCAGGAACCCTGGAGTTGTCTGTAGACTGAGGTTCACGGGCTTGACCTTGAGTTGTCAAGAGGAAGCTAAAGTACATCCAGTAACGTCTCACTGAGAATGCAGGGAAGTGCATCAATTATTGGGAAAGGGCCTGTCCAAGCTGTCTTGGCACAGAAAGCACGAGGCTTCCTTTCTCTAGGGAAGCTCGCTTCTGTGGAAGGGCTTGTTCTCCTAGGTCTGCGGACTGGGAGGGCTGGGCTTCTAGTCTGGGTTGTTTACTGCAGGGTGCCCAGAGGCTCCGGTGGAGCCTGGGGCCTAAACACTCAGGGAACGTTTGCTGGTGCGTGGAGGAGTGGAAGCATGAGGGGACGAGGTGTTTCCAGTCGTCTTCCACGGATATCTAATGGGAAGCTCCTCTGTGCCGTGTGGCGATCTGAAGTGGAGACGCAGTTCCTGCCTCCATTTGCTGATGGGGGAATGGGGGTCTGGGGACTCACAACACGCGCGTGTGTGCTCCGACATGTGGCTCAGTGCTCAGCTCTGTGGTCGTGTTTCTTTATCTTCTTGATGAGATCATGCAGTAGATACTATTATTACCATTTTATAGGTAAATAAACTGAGGCCCAGAAAGGTTAAACTCAAGGTCACCCAGCTGGTAGACTGGGGAAGTCAGTATTCAAACACAGGCCATCTGACGCTTAACCGCCGTGCCATGTTGCCTGCTGGTGGGTGTGCATGTGCACACACGTGTGTGTGTGTGTGTGTGTGTGTGTGTGTGGTGGTGAGAAAAGAGCCACCTGATCAGAGATGTCCCCACTCCCACCTGGATCCTGAGGTGGCTCCATAATCGAGCTAGGGGAGGGGCTTAGGGATGATGGAAGAGGCTAGAGGAGGTGTTTTCTCTTCTTAAAACTGCTTCTGCATGGAATGCACGCTATTTTTGCTGAAATCATTGGAGTATTTGGGCTGCTCAAGGGCTTGTGGGCTCTCCCAGCCACCCTATTGGTGCCCTCACTGGTCCTGAAATAGCCACAGCTAGGCTCCTTCCTGGGAGTCTGCCAGAGACAAGGGTGATCTTTGCAAGGGCTCACTGGCTAGCACTTTGGCATGACATGGCTTGTCTGGTTGGAGCCTGTCACCCCCTGCTGTCACTTTGCAGTAAGGAATGGGGTGAGGAGGCACTGAGTGATGACAGCAGTTCCCAGCCCAGAGGAGGCAGGCCTGACAGGGGCTCTCCGCACTGGGGTTGGGGAGGCGGGGGTGTCTGTGTGAGGGTCATGAGTCAGGCCCGCTGGGCAGGTCTGCCCAGCTGTCTGCCCCCTCTGGCCTGGGCACCTCCTCTGGCTGTGGGGAAGGCCTTGGAGCTTTGGGCTGCCGGGTCTGGAGGAGCAGCGTGCAGTGGGGTGGCGGGAGAGCATCGCAGGACGGAAGCAGATGGGAAGCCGCAGCAGCAGCCTGCAGGCCTCGCCCGGGCCAGCTCGACTCTCACGCAGCCTGTGGGGAGGCTGGGTGGGGGGTGGGGGCCAGAACGACAGATAGACTGATGGACGTGGAGAAGCAAACAAAGAAGAGGCCAAGAAGGAGTTGGCACAGAGTCGCACGGGCAGAGCACAGAGAGAGAAACAGCTCGGCAGCCAGGGAGAGTGGCCTGCAGCCCAAGAAGGCGTCAGCATGGGCCGCTGTCCCCTGCAGCCCCAGTGGGCCTGGAGTTCTGGCCCTGGCTCTGGGGGTGCCAGGCCTCTCACTGCTAGCCTCCTTCCCTTCGGCTCCAAGAGTTGATGGCCAAGATTTTCTTAGAACCAAGGAGGTGGCGGCTGGGTCGAAGGCTTGTGGACCTGCCGGTTCTGTCTGCTGCTGAAGAAACCGAGGACTCTAGGGGTCGAGGGGTCTGCCTTGCTCTGCTGCATCTAAGCCTCATGGCTTAGGGCAAGTGAGGCAGCCTCTCAGGCCTCCATTTCCTCATCTGCAAAATGGAGGCAGCGACAGGCGCCTCCCAGGGACTGCAAAGGACGGTGCATGCAAGGGACCATCGGGGGTGTTGGGCACGTGGCTGCCCTCAGTAAATGGTGGCAGTAAGTGCCGACACCCTCTCTTCTGTTCCCAGGCACTGGGACAGGCCTGTGGGGCGGGCGAGGGGCCATGGTAGTCACACTGACAATAATTCATGGCACAAAGGGGCGTCGGGAGAGTTGGGTAAAGTGCTTTGGGAGTTCAGAGGAGGCACTCGTTTGTCCCAGCTTGGGGTGGGGTGAGGCAGGTGGGATATAATCAGTTGGACTTGAGCAGACCCTCATTATCCTGGACTGGGGAGGCGGCAGGAACACAGCTGACAGCCCTGTGCCCTCCTGGAGCTTCCATTCTAGTGGTGGGACCAGCTCCAAGCAGGTTCTGCCACAGTCCTTGGGGGCTGCTCAGCGAATGCTTGCCTAGGGCATCTGGGACCCAGCTCCACCTCCAGCTCCTTAGCACCGGCTGCTCCCCCGCCCCCAGGCGACCTGCTCTCATCCTCCACATCATCTGATGTGGCAGTCATGTCATACATGTCATTGGCTGTCTCTGGGATTTGAACACATCCACTGGCTTCAGTGAATGAAGGGTTTGACCACTGGCCCCACTGTGCTCCTGACCTGCAGGGCAGCTGTCGCTGGCTGGGAGCCCATGGCAATGCCCTCCTCTCCGGTGAGCAACCTTGAGGAACACAGAAAGGACTGGGCAGAAGTGATAGCTCCGACCGGTGAGAGTGGTTCCCAGCTTTTCCCCAGGGCCAGACTGCACGCTGCACCAGAGCAGGGCCTTGGCCCCCAGTGCCCAGCACAGAGCTGGCACCTAGTAGGGACTAATAAATCATCATTGAATAAAGGAATTTTTCTTCTACTGCATGGGCCCCAGGAAGACTCCCCTGGCTCACTGAAGGCTCTGGCCATAACTGTCAAACTCTTAGACGCCTGGGACCTCTAAGGGCCCTCCCTGCCTGGACACAGCGTGACGGTTGATTCACGCCGTGCTCCCACGCCTGGTGAGTAGCAGCCAACTCCAACTGCTCATAAATTTCCTGCCTGTCACCCATGGCGCCCAGGCCAGGCGGGCGGGAGGCGCTGGGGGTGGACCGATCCATACCTGCTTCCAGTTCCCTGGAAAGTCTGGAGGCCTGAAGCCCAGGCCTGTGCCTGTGCCCAGAACAACCGCTGCAAAGCCAGGCCCTCGGAGAAGATGTGAAAACACATCTGTCAAATGCCGGGACGCACAGGCCTGAATGTTAAAGAAAACACAAACACCAGCTTAGGATGTTTGTGCAACATAATTCCACTTTCATAAAATGTTGTATATGGACATCTATGCACAGCAAGGGCACATGGAACGGTAGTCACGCAGGTGTTGCCAGTGGTTTTCCTCTTGGTGGACAGATTGGGATGACTGAAAATTTTTTCTTCTGTATTTTCTAATTTTTTCATAATTAACACATTATATAATTAAAATTTTAACAGCTTTATCAAAATATAGTTCACCCATCAAAAGCATATAACTCCATGGTTTTTATTATGTTTAGTATATTCACAGATAAGTGCAACCATCCCCATAGTCCATTTTAGAACATTTTCATTACCCCTAAAGGAAACCCATAGCTTTAGCTGACGTCTGATCCCCAGCCCTAGGCAACACTAATTTTTTTGTTTGTTTGTTTCTTTTTGAGACAGAGTCTCGCTCTGTTGCCCAGGCTAGAGTGAGTGCCGTGGCGTCAGCCTAGCTCACAGCAACCTCAGTCTCCTGGGCTCATCACTAATCTTTCTGTCCCTACAGATGTCCCCGTTCGGAACATTTCCTGGGAATGGAATCGGATAATACGTGGCTTGCTGTCGCTGGGCTGCTTTTCGGTTAGCCTGATGTTTATGATGCTTTTCCATAGTGTCGGCTGTATCAGCGTTTTGTTCCTTCTTATGGCCAAGTACTGTTCCACTGTGCGAATAGGCCACATTTTGTTTGTCTGTTTGTCAGTTGGTAGACACTATCTATGTAATTTTCAAAATTGTGTTGTTTTTTTTTTTTTTTAAGAGTTGGTTGAAAGCAAATTGGTCAAGAGGACGGTTGCTTCAAAGTGACTATTTCTGGTTATTTGTTTTGAGACTTTCCAGCCAACGTTGATGCCACGTCACGTATCGAACACTAGTTAGTGAAATAGCGAAACCGCGGACCCACTGCCCTTTTCAGGAACTCGAGCCAGCGCCTTCAGGGGCTTCCCCGTGTGCCCGGCCCTGCCGTGGTGGCGGCTCGGTTGTCCCATTGATTCTTTGCAGCTGACCTAGAAGGTGGATGCTACGACCGTGCTCGTTTTAAAGATGAGGAAACTGAGGTTTGGAGAGGTTAGCCGGCCTGCCCAGGGCCCCGCATCTGGCTTTGGGGCCAAGATGAACCCCAGTCTGAGCAGCATTCAGAGCCAAACATGCAGCCCCCTTTCTAGCCCACATATTGGTGTACTTAAAAGTGAAAGGCAAAATAATGCTTAATAGCGTGGGTTTTGGAAAATATTTCTCCCATGCCCTCTCTGCTTTTCTTTCATACTTTAGTTTTAAAATAACATTTGAAATCTAACTGCTCTTTTTAGGACAGACCAATTAAAAAAAACAAAAAACTGTCAGGATTTCAATCCCGTTGGATGTTCCTTTTTTCTACGTGTAGAAGACTGTATCCAAATTGATTAAATATATAAAAATGTGTAATTTGAAAATAGTGAAAAGTGGTAAAGTAGGTAAAGTGGGCATCATAGACTGATAATAAACTTAAAAAGTAAAGTAACTTAGAAGGCAGATAAAATCACCTTTTCGATTCCTCCAAAGTGGTAAAATTACCTTGTAATTTTTATATAGTAGTGATCACGACGGGAAAAAATTGTGCTTAAAGCCAGAGACAAGCTTAGTATGCCGAGGAGGTATAGTCAGACATAAAAAAAAAAAAAACTGGAAATGAACAAAAGCAAAATAGATGCAAAATTCTTCCAGTGTTCATAACAACAAAAATATTCCAATGTTACATTTGAAATAGCAAAAATATTCCATGGTATATAAAAGCCATGCTAAATAAAATGCCTGTGACTGGAGGTAGTTATCCACGGGTTTAACAAGTGTTTATTGAGATGCTACTGTGGGCCAGGCACTGTTCTAGGCGCCAGGGCTACGGCAGACTGTGTCCCTGCCCTTGTGGAGCTGGCGTTCCCACCACAGCAAGTGAACAGATGAAAAGATGACTTCCGATTGTGACGGACTCAACCACTTTGTCCACCTCAGTTTGGCTCAGCCTGTGGGACCAGCTGAAAGGGACCAACAAGGTCTCATCCAGTCCTTCTCAATGTTCATTTTAGCAGCAGAACCTGTTGTTTAAAGGCCATCTTCCGTGGCAGAGGGGGCTCTGAGCACAGCGAGCCGGGGGGTGAGCTGTGCCCAGAGCCTCGGCCCGCAGTGCACACACACAAAACCCACCGAAGGCCAGAGCTGGAGGGGTGCAGTCCTCTTGCACTGTGCTCCTCACATGGGCGGACACAGGACGTTGCCAGGCGTTACGAGAGAGGGGCTCTGTGGTGTGGTGTCGCAGTGGGGGGCACTTGCTCTTCCCTGTGTCTGCAACTATGCACCCCACCCTCCCCAACATGGTCCCTTGTGAGGGGGTGTTGCCAGCACGTTTGTCTCCTGTCCCTCCACCACCGCTGATTGGTCCAGGGGGAGAAGTCTGCCTGGGCGGGACCAGCCGGCTTCCTCCACTGGGCCCCAGGGCTGGCATGCTGGGAGCCGGGCGGGGGTGGTCAGGTGGGAAAGAAGGGGCTACCTGCCAGTGGCCAAGTGCTGGCACCTCGAGGGTAGGGCTTGTGTCCTGCTGGGCCCTTTTCCGCTTTGCCCGAGACCTTCTCCCTGGCCTCTGTGAAATGCTCTTATGTGGCCTTAAATAAGTTTCCCTTTACTGGAGGGTGGAAGTGAATTTCTGCTCCTCACAGTACAGTCGCAATTACATGGTCAAATCAGTTGGAAAAATTGGGTAAATAAAGCCACACTTCAGGACTTTTCAGAGCCTTTAATATGCTAATATACATAGTGACTTTCCAAGATGAAGGCAAGGTCTGTGGTGTTTCCAAAACTCATGGGATTCCTCACCTGGCTGGTGCTCAGCAGAACACCCTTTGGGGAATGCTAATCTCCTTACACCCCCTCACTGTACACATGCAGGAATTAAAGCACAGAGAGGGAGAATGAGTTACCCAAGGTAACCAGCACAGCTGCTTAATTACAGAGAAGGTCATGGCACGTAAGGCCTCCCATTGTTCTCCCTACCACATTCCGACGGGCATACAACTTCCTTGCACGGAGGATGTGTGTGCTGGGACTCCCGGGCCGAGTTGGGTGGTAGGAATGCAGGTCCAGTGTAGACACCAGGAATTAGGGTGGGGTCGAGAATTGGAGGTCGGGCCTCTGAGAGAAACCCCTGTCTCCCTTAATCTTGGGTGGTGGCGGTGGCTTCAGCAGGGTCTGAGAACCAACAGAGGGCTTGGGGCTGGGCCTGGCTGGCCGGGCCACCTCTACGGCGTGGCCAGTAGTGCGGCTCCAGCCACCCCAGCCTCCCCTCCTTGTCCAGGCCACAGGCGGGCTGAGCGAGCAAGGCACTCGGGCCCAGTCCGTGGCAGGGCCCGCCCCAGCGGCCAGCGCCAGGATGACGCGGGCTGTAAATCACCGCGTGGACCACAGACCCAGTGCCATCCCCACGGGTTTCCTTTCCGCTTCTTAATCCTCCTGCTCAGACTCGGTAACAAAAAGCAGATTCCTGCTGGGGCCGCCGCACACAGTGGGCGTGGGGAATGTGAGCCTGGGCTCCACCACATCAAGATGCTCCCGCCTTCGATTTCCTAATTTCCCTTCTCAGCCACTGTTAGCTGGAGAGCCCCCCCTCCCCCTGGCCCGGCTCCCTCGCCCTCCTCGGACCCCACTTCCAGCCTGGCCCCAGCCTTGCAGCTGGGCTGGCTGCCCCGGCCCGCGCGGCTCACCGGGGCCTGTGGTTAGCAGCCCTCCAGCGTCGCGGTTTGGCTCCAGCCCGGCTCCCCGAGCCTCCGCCTCTGCGTGGTGGAACCAACGCTGCCGATCTGGATTCAAACCCTGGGGCTGGCGACCTCTAGCACGTCCTTCTCTGAGCCGGGGGTGGCTCACCCTTGCGGTGGGGTGTCTGGCATGTCACCTCCCTGGCATGTCGGAGGTGCCCGACAGATGCTTTGCAAATCACTGCTTAGCTGTTGGTTCAGGTTGGTGCCTGAATCGAAACAAAAGTAGTTGGAGCTGCTGTACCAGGTTAAGGGACTGTCCTTACTCTTTTTCATCTTCTGGGCGGACTTGGAGCCCTCACACAGCCCCCCACCCCCACCAGAGGGCTAAAGCAGCCCTCGTCTCCTGTCCAGTCGGTTTTCTCAAGAGCAACATCAAGTTCCGCTGCCGGAGTGAAGATTCTGCAGGTCAGGGCTGCGAGGAACTTAAAAAAGGTCTAACCCAGCAGCGTCCACACCGTGCTTCTTATCACCGTGGAGTCTCAGAGATGTCCCGAGCTCTTTGTCGGAGGGAATGCAGTAGGACTCCGGGTCTCCCTCTCTGAGTGTCCCGCACCCCACTACTCCAAATAGAACCATGTTTATCTGTTTTCTGTGTTAGGGTTCCATAGACTTCGTTCTACTGCTTAAAAGAAAGCTTGAAAATCATTGATCTGCTCTGGCTGGGCCATTGTACAGATGAGGAAGTTGAGGCCCAGAGAAATTAAGTGCCTTGTCTCAGGTCTCCCGGCCTGCAGGTGAATGTGCTGCCACAAAAGTTGGGCTTGTGACTCCTGGTGTAGTGCTCTTGTCTGAACAGCGTAGGGGCCAAGGAGCCACAGACGGCCATTCCAGTGGTGCTCACCAGCCTGCAGAGGAGCCCTGCACCCCAGGGTGGGGACCGGCCTGACGCTGAGATCCCTCAGAGGTGTGACCCTGGGACTGTGGTGTCAGTACCACGTGTCTCTGAGCTTCTGGAGGCCCTACTCCTTCCCTCAAACGATCAGAAACATCAGGGCTCTGAAATGCTCAGGAGGGGACAGAGGGGGCACTGTGGGCTCTGCAGACAGCCAGTCCTGGGTTCGAATCCTGACCCTGCCACTTACTGAACCCCTGAAGGTAAAGTCCCCTGCATGGGCTCATATTTAGTGAGAGGCTGTGCTGTGGCTGTCAGCACCTGGCACCGGTTGGCCTTCCGGAAACAGGAATCTGGATGAATAGGGGCTGCTTCTAACGGCTGGTCATTTCTTTCAGGAGTGACCGCCGCGGGCTAGCTGAGGACGCTGCTGCGGGTCCTTTCCAGCGCGGCGCGAGGAGACGGCGAGCTCGCCCAGTCCAGCCCGGTCGTCTTCTGCAAGATGCCGCCAGATGCTCAGCCCGCCGCCTCTCAGGGTCAGACGGGCATGCCTCCCTGGGCCCGGCCCTCACCCGGCCACTCCGAGGTTACTTCGCACTTTGCCCTCCGCCGGGGGGCGGGGAGGGCTCAGCCTCCCCCTCGCTCGGGGCCTGAGGCCCGCCACCTGGCTGCAGAAATCCATTGCCAAAGATTCAACAGAGACACTGAACAAAACGGGGTGACGCAACCCAACAGCGAGGCTGCACTGTCGCTCTGACCTCTGTCCCTCCTGTGGCCTGAGTCCCATCTCAAGCCAAGGACGAGTCGGCAGTTCCACCAGGAACTCGTGGAAGGCATGGGCACATGGCCTCTGGAAGCCCGTGCCCCTGACCCTGCGTGCTCCGCACTCGCCATGCACTGGCTGGGTGCGAGATAAGCCTGGATGCTGGGAGAGGGAGGCCGGGGGTGCCTGGGGGGCGGGGGTAGGGCCTGAGGTCCCTGCCCCTCTCTCCCACCCACCAGCTGCCCGGGCACGGGCCTCGATTCTCAGCGTTCTCTGGGCCCAGACCCTTGGGCCCTGAGACTCACAGGAAGGGAGTAAGAGTGGAAGAAAGAAATATGGCCTCGTCTCCCACCCCAACGACTTGCCCCAGGGCACTGCCCAAGAGTCCTTGCTCCCCCAGTTGCCACCCCTCCCCGGTGCCCTGTGTGGCTGGGCAACCAGATGGCACCCTGCTTGGAGGCCAGCGTCTGCCACAGGTTGCTCGGGAGGGGCAGAGGGACGGGGGGACAGGGCATGGGCCAGTATGTGGGGAAGGGGGTGTTCAAAGCCAAGGGCTGCGCCTTCCTTGTGCTCAGAAGGCCAGAGCTGCTCACATCTGTGCTCAACCATCTGCTTCAAATTGAAGTAAAAGCCCCAACATGTAAAGAAAATACTTGCTTGTGTTGAGTGGACTCTGTGGGTGACCGGGACTTGACTGGTCATTGGCTGGGGAGTGGTGAGGGAGGAGGTTGGTCTCCACCTGGAGGTTGAGAGCCCTTCAGAAGCAGGCAGTGTGTGAATGTGTGTGCATGCATGCGCGCGCGTGTGTGTGTGCACGTGCACGCGTGTGTGCGTGTGTGTGGAGGAAGGGCGTGGAGGGGGTGCCCACCATGGCCTCAGCCTGGACTAGTGACCAGGCCTGGTTAGCAACATGTGAGGAGCCCTCTCCACTTCACACTCCACTTAATCCATGCCATGAATTCATGAGATGGGGACCACTATTATTAATCCCATTTTACAGATGAGGAAACTGAGGCCTCAAGGAGCTAGCCAGCCAGCGACAGAGCCAGTTCCTGAATGAGGATGGCCTCACTCCAAATCCTGTGCTCTCAAACCCTTTCTAGCCCCTTGCCAGTCCCCAAAAGTCTTTATGTGACCTTGGCCTGTCACTCCACCTCAGTAGTCCTGTCTAAGATAGGGACAGTGAAGGCCCACTGGGGATGGTGAGGGTGGTGAGGTAAGAAATGGGCCAGCACTGTCAGGGCAGAAGGTGCAGAGCTGCTCAGAGAGAGGGGGATGGGCAGCCAGAGGCTGCAGCCAGGCAGGACACACAGTCTGTCCCTTGGTTTCACCTGGTGTCACTTTCTCTTCTCGGCCTCTCAGACTCCTGGGTGGGCGCTGGGGCTGGCCAGCTGCAGAGCCCCCTTCTCTTGCACTAGGGTTTCTCAGGCTTGGCTCTTTACCAAGGACCAAGGCATGTGGGCTGTCCCCGGCTCCCTGGGCTGGCCCAGAAATGGGACACAGACTGCTCCAAGTGTTCCACAGAGCAAAGATGCCCTAGAAGCAGGCAGGACAGAACAGGCTTGGAATGTTAGGAAGGGGACAGTTAGGAAGGGTTAGCCACCCTGAGACCCCAGGTACAGGTAACAGCACCACTAGGTTGTCCCTCTGAACCTCTGAGTCACCCTGGTGGCTCTTCCTAGGGAAGCAGGAAATGTGAATTAAGCTGTCAGCATAAGAGACCCCCTTCTGTTATAAAGGGTGTGGGGGGTACTGCTGTCCCCTGCTGGGCAGGAGATCCACGGCCCAGCCACTTAGCAACAACCTGTGGCCTCCTCTTCCCATCCTGCTCACAGTCTGCATTACGTAGCTCCCTTTTATTCTGAAGCGTCTGTTGCTCGCCAGCTGCATGCCAGGCATTAAGCAGACACTGGGAATGGAGAGAAGGGCCCTACAGAGTGCGTGTCGTCACAGAGCTCATGGTGCACAGAGCTCATGGTGCACAGAGCTCATGTGCAGGGGATGGGACAGACAGGTGGACAAGCAAATAATTGTGATGCAATTGGGTGACTAAAGTGTTGTTGGGAGCCTCAGGAAAGAGAGAACTAACTCTCCCTGGTGGTAGCGGGAGGTATCAGGAAGGGCTTTTCTGGAAAGGGGCCATGGGAGTTGGGTCTTGAAGGTTGAGTAGAAGTTTTCCGAGCAGAGGAATAGGAGAAAGGCTTTTTATCCAGAGGAGTACTCAGTCCTGGAATCATCTAAGGAGATTATTAAATATTGATGTAAAGTATTAATGCCAAAGTCCCATCTCCAGAAATTCTGATATAATGGGCTGAGGTATGGCCTGATCATTGGGATTTTTACAAGCAATTTCAATGTGCAGGCAAGGTTGGGAGCCACTGGTCTGAGTGGGCTCAGGTCTCTGACAAGGACGTGATTTAGAGCCACTGATGTGGGGTACAGGCTGTGCCAGAAATGTAGATGGATGTGTGCATGTGTGTACACGTATGTATGTACATGAACGATAAGTTCATGCTTTTCTTTCCTTTTCCAGCCGCCCCCTCAGTACAGCAACTTGTGTTCTTATGCACACACATGCACGCACATTCCTACTCCCTCTTATGTGCACATGTGCACCCAGACGCCTAATGTGTACATCCCCAGTAAAGGGACATCCATTTCAGATAGATTCAAATTTCACTGGCAATCTTTTATTTTATTTTTTGAGATAGGGTCTCACTTTGTTACCCAGGCTGGAGTGCAGTGGCACAATGGTAGCTCCCTGTAACCTTGAACTCCTGGGATCAAGGGATCCTCCAATCTCAGCCTCCTGAGTAGCTCGGACTACAGGTGCATGCCACCACACCCAGCTAATTTTTAAATTTTTTGTAGAGACAAGGTCTCACTGTGTTGCTCAGGCTGGTCTTGAACTCCTGGCCTCAAGCAATCCCCTCAACTCAGCTTCCCAAAGTGCTAGGATTACAAGGCATGGGCCACTGCGATATTCTGGCAATATTCTAAACAGTTTTATGCAAGCAGCCATGCAAGAAGACCCTCAGCAAAATATAAATTTTGAAGAACTGCCTCGTGGGGCCTTGGGAGAGCATTTTCCGCTGAGGGTTTGGGATCAGAGCCAGCTGTGGATATATTTGTGGCACACCCTGCTTGCTTTATCCTTTGTTCTGGGTCATCAGGCACAGGCCAGAAAGGGATGAGGGGATCCTCTCCAGGGGCCCATGGGACCTGTGTGGGTGTGTCCACCTGGAGCCCCACGTGTGCACACATCTGCATGTCTGCGTGCCAGGTTCCTGCTCTCCCCAGGACAAAACCCACAAAGAATTTCTCTGGGAGTCGGAGATCTCAGCTCATAGGCCATGCTTTGCAATACCCTTCAAAAACTCGTGTCCTCTATCAACTGATATAATTTTAGGAATCAGTTTATCAACATGTATTAAAACCTTTAAAAAACAAAAACAAAACAAAAAAACTCGTGTCCTCAGGCTGTGTGCTGGCTTAGACTGTTCCAGAGGAGAGGGTTAAATTCTGGAGAAGAGGTTCCCAAGTGGGTGTCCATCTCCCCACACTATATTTTCCTGCCCCCATGGTCATATCCTTCAAGGCCCTGTGCTGTTCTATTTTTTCCCCGGTTACTCTACCCTTGCTGATCTCTCCTTTCTCAGCCACTGGGGGCACGAGTGGGCAGGTCCCAGAGCCAGGCACTGAGTACAGTAGCCAGGTGCAGGGACTGTGCTGGGAGCTGCAGGTACAGACAGAGCCTCTCCCTGCTAAGGGATGCCTGTGACCCAGGGCAGAGGCACAGGGACAGCTAAGTAGGGTGACAGGCACCATGCTGGGGTCAGTTGTGGGAAGCTGGCTGAGGAGCTGGAGCAGGGGCTCTCCTTGCCTCCCTCCCATGCTGCTTCCTGAACCACAAAGTGGTCATTGCCAGCAGCCCAGGTGACAAACAGAAAGACTCGGACATGACCAAGTATTCCCTTCACGCAGATTTGCACTGACGTTCTCGCTCTGCCCTCTTGCTGCCCTGCCACCTTCCAGCTGCTGTTTCCTGGCCCCAGGAGGATTGCCGGGCACAGGGGCCCTTGCAGAGAGGGGCTGGCTTCACTCTTTGCCCCACTGGTTTTCACCCTCCCCTGAGTCTCCCTTCTGGTGCCCTGGAGCCCTGACAAGCTATGTCTGCCTCCCTGAAGCCAGGCACCCCAAGGAACTTAGATTGATAAATAATGACTTTGCTTTACAGATACGTGGGCACATTTATCTCATCTCTGGATGGCACTATGAATTCCTGGAGGGCAGAGATTGGGTTGACTTCAACTCTAAATCCACAAAAGGGCTTTGCAAAGTGTATATATGGGTTTCTTTGTTGAATGAATGAATAAAAAATGGAAAATATGGTAATTCACTCATTTTTGTTTTCTTCCTTCCACAAATAACTACCAAGCACCTCATTTACTCAAGATCCTTTTAGGAAACGGGACTCAGGCCAGACCACCTTTCACAAGGCTCCAGAGAGGCTCAAAGGGAGAAAGGTAAGGAGCAGAGAGAAGCCTGGCCTTGGGCCTCTACACTCTTTATAGAGAACCAAGCTCATTATTGCTCCTGGGGCCATGTAGCTGCCTCCTGACTGGCCTCCCTGTCCCTGTTCCATTCCCTTCTGGTCCTTCCCTGCCATGGCTGATGGAGGTTTATTTCCAAAATCCCCGTCTGGGCCCTTGGCCTCCTCCAAGCTGTAGTTCATGCTCCGTAGCTGCCCATCATCACGGATGGTGCCACCAGTCATCTCCTCCAGGTCTCCGTCATCCCCTAGTCCTCACCAAGTCTGGCCATCCCTCCAGTGTGGCTGAGTTCTGCCCTGAGACGTCATTAAGCAGTCCCTCTTTCTCAGTCATGTCCCTGTTTCCTTTGCTCTGGAAACAAGATTCTTGCCCAGGAAACAAGATTCTTTCTGGACCTTGCTGTTTGCTGCAATGGAAATAGTTCCTTTTTGTCCTAACTTTCCCCTGCATCGAATCTCACGGTGCCTGGATCCCCTGGAACTCTCTTTCTCTCAATCCCCAAACCTGGGGAGGACAGGGAGGCCCTACTCAACCGGACAGCAATGACATAGGTACTCCCCTCCTGTCCTCAGAGCCTGCCTTTCCTTTTCATGTATAAATAAAAACATCACCCCCGCTCTGTGTCAGTGAGAGCAAGCCAGCATCACCCGGGTCTCTGAGGATTCCCAGGACACTTCTATCCACACGGTTGTCTCTGGCTTTGATCTCCTGAGTCCAGTGGATTTGTCATCTGTCCCTCAATTGCCCCCTATGAATAGATGCATCGCCCTGGGCCAGCCACAGTTCTCCCCTCAGGATCACCTGTCACCAAGGCTTGTCCAAAGGCGGCAGATGGGCCACACACGGGAGAGTAGGGAACAGGACAGAGCCCTATGGCGGTTCCCTTCTTTGTACCCTGGGTCAGCTCAAGGGAACACAGAAAACTTTCCTGAATTTCCCTGAAATATCACTCACACGAGGCAGTGGTGTGTAGAGGAATTATTTTTTCTGCTCTTGATGAATTTCTTTAAATGCGTACACTCACACACACACAAAAAAAACCAAGCAGGATTTTGCCTTTTACTTA